TCAGGGAAGCAGAAGAATTGCAGGGACGTACCCGATCCAAACACAAACTGGTAAGGCTACACGATCCAGATTCAGGGGAGGTAGTGGCGTGCGCTATGGTTAACGTGTGCGTCAATGAAGCGATGGATCGAGCCCGACGACCGCTCCAAGTAATCGTAGATATTAATGACGAAGATATAATATTCTCATCACGACCAACGGATAAGGAAGGTATGGAAGAGTTTCCACAACCACTCTCGGAGAACGAAGTCCCGAGTACATCGAAGAAGGACGTGCAGAACAGCATCGCGGAAGACTTGACTCAACAGCGTATTAATGAGCAGGAACATGTGGAGAGCCAGATAAACGACGAGAAAAACGGTTGTCGAGCCGAACATTCGAACGAACCTCAGAAGAACGAAACAGTGGAATCGGAAAGCGAATCAATGGCCACGACAATCCCGTTTGGGCAAGAATGCGATGATACACAGAGCTACGAAGAGGCAGATAATGAAACGCAGTCTAAACTAAATAATAATTGCCAGGTGGAACAACCAACTACCAACCAAGCTCCGATAGAAAACCTGGTGGGCGCTGAACATTTCAAGCCAATATGGCAGGATGAGAGAAACCAAGATAGAACAACAACCAAGAAAGCAACACCCACGGGAATGCGGGGAAAAGTGGCGATGACAGAGCAACGCGAAATGAAAGCATCAGTTACCACGGATGAAAGCCACCGACGAATTTGCGTCAAATTCCGTCAAGAAAGTAGCAAATGGATAACAGTGCAGGGTGTGAGTCAAAGGAAAGCAGCTCGCACTGCACAAATGGTCAACCAAGACATCCTCGAAGAAGAGGAGGAGGAAAAGAAGGAACGTCGAGCGTCAAAGCGTAAACCTCGGGAGAAAAAACAGCAGGTAACTGCTAAAGGTAAGCAAAGTTCCCTCCTCGTCTTTACGTATCGTGAACTGACGGGGAGAGTGCAGCCGCCTGCTGTCTATAGCTGCCATACCGACGAAGGGCGCCCGCAAAGACGTTGGGAAAATTAATCCTAAGGTCATCATCACTAGATTGGACGACGGCCGCATCATCGAGGAGCGGGTGGACGACGAGGGTACGGAAGCCAGGACTGGAGATCACGACAGTGATGCAAAAAAGTCTCAGCCAGCCATCATGCCGAATCCGGCAATCTAGATATTAATATGATTTAACCAAAGTGAATCAAATATTATGGTGTTGGGTATTTACGTTTATAAAATAAGAAAATTACGACTAGGCATTTTGATGTTTCTTCCGATCATGTTTAGTTTACTTCGTATTATGTTGTCCTATTAGAGAATATAGCGAGTTATGAGACATGATCAAAATCAATTTATTTTGTGTATAAGGAATATTGTACGATTATTTTTCA